CACGATAATTCTCTCTATTAATATTTAGAGGCTAAAGAAGCTCAACATCTGCACAAGGCCATGAATTAACATCTCTTTGAAGAGAGAGGGGAGAAAGAGGAAGGAACAACAAACCTCGTTCCCTTCAGCATGGAGTCGCCGTTACCCCCGTTTCACTCCCCCATCCCTCCAACACCCCAAAAAGTTCCAATCCCTGCCTTTCCCCTTGTAAATTTATACCATAATTAGAATGACTAAATATTTCTATATGATTATCTATTTAAATTTTGCCTTCTGTGTGAGAACTGTGCTGTTATTCTTATACATTGTTCAAATCCCGTATAAACGCGCAACTATTCCATCCCATTTCTCAACCTATCATTTTTGTGAGAATACCAAAAGTGTTTACCTCTTTCATATCTAGAATCATGATTATTGCTTCATACTTAGAATTTCATAAATGTGACTATCTTCATTATTTCCCGATATTATATCAGGTTTTGTGATCAATTATTATTTTGCTTTCTATGTGAAAAGTGTGAAATGTTACATCAACATATTTAGTCATAATTCAAACCCACCCTCAATAACCTAAGTGGAGGGAGAGGGGAGGAGAAGGAAGAAACAGCAAACTCCAATCCAAGGTATGTTTGTCATTCCCCCATCCTCCTTCCCAGTCCACCCAATACCAAATCACATTTCTTCTTTCTGTGGACGTGTACCAAAATCTAGGTGAACTCTCAGCAACTTATGCCAATATGTTAGATAGCCAGATAGCCAGTGCTATTATGCTTTTTGTGAAGAAAAATAAATAAAATTGTCTTTGAAAAACTACAAGGATCATATCTTCTAGACTTTTTAGAGATCCCATGGTGAAAGCAACAACTAGAGCTGTGGGATATGTCCATCTATATTTAATATTTTTGTCCCTTAGAATCTGAATTTGCTCAGAATAGGTTCTTCTATTTTGACGCGATGCGCATGAAATGTCAGCAAACAGTCTGATGTTCTTATGTTCTCTGTTTTTCAACTGTTTTGTTCCTTGATGCTTTCATTATCATTTTTTTGAGGTAATAATGAGTGAATCTGACAATAACGTCCCTGGGTAAAGATGGGTTAATGCCTTTGGGTTTCGGTACTCTATGAGCTCTTTCAAAAGGATATTCACCCATTTCCTGTATGGATATGAATTCTTCGAAAAATTTATTGAGAAATTGAATACGTTAGTTTTGTTGTACCACTTCTGGCATCCCTCTAAGGCGAATGTTCTTGCGCCTTGCCCTGTCTTCCAAATCGATTATTTTTTCCTCCAGACTTTTTATTTTAGATTCCAATTTTAAACAAGAGATTCGAAGTAGCTTATTTTCCTCTTGAATTGAGGATAAAGGTTTCGCTTAAACATTAAGGGTTTCTGCTATGGAAGTGATTTCAGATCTCAATTCTCCTGAGTTAAGTTCAATATCTTTCTTAATTTTGATGTATAATTCATCTAGAAGTGCTGTTAATAGCAGTTGGGTGATCTCTTGAGATTTAGGGCACAGAGTAGAAACTCCTTCTTCAAATTAATCTGTCTATTCAGATGATCCGTGTTTGCCTGTTCCCTTAGTATCTAATGGGAGAGATTTTCTCTGTTTGTCTTTATAGCTCTCATTTAATTTCAGGGAGTAAAAAGTGCTTATGGGTCGATTTATTTCTTTATCTTTTTCAAAAGGAGGGAATTTTTCTTTTTCAGAGGTTTTATCTACATATTTCTGTTTAGGTGCCATTTTGCTTTTCTCTTCCCCCATGCCCCCTCCTTTCAGCTGTGAGATCAGTGTGTGATCACAGTACAAAAAACGGATTTCTTATTATGTTCTCACTCTCTACCTGAACACAATAGTTTAATTCCATATAATCACAATCACAGTGTTACACCAATATCAAAAGATTTAAAACACGTGTGAGCAATAGTAAAGGGGTTCAAGGAACATATGTATCTCAATTTCCAAGTGACCTTCAAATACTTTTTGCTTAATTGGAATGGATCAGCATGATTCTGCAGAACTCTCCTTACCCCTCGTGTAAGTTCCTGTTGATGTTATAGATGCTGCTTCTCCATGGGCATCCACTCCAAGAGCAGAGTGCCGACACGCAAACACAGAACAAAGAGAAAAAAGGGCTACTGCTTGTATCTCCTGAGAGTTCTACCTCCATCTTCATCTCTTCAAATTTTCACCATAAACATAAGCTTCTCGCCAGAACGCACAATAAGCGTGTAGCACCCCCTCGCCTCACTGGCCCGCCATATCAAGCGCGCAAACGTGCGGGTGTGTGTGCATGCATCACATCGCCCCGCCAAGCCTTTTTTTTTTTTTTAAACTATCTATAGAGTCTTTCCACAGGTTAAAGAGAAGTGGGCCCAGGACAAAACCTTCAGACTCTCCACTTACCACTTTTGTCTAATTTGAAAATTTTTCATTTAGAACTACACACTGCAACCACACATGTAAACTCATGGGTCTGTAGTTTCCAGGTTGAGCTATTGAAACCATTTTAAATATAGGCACCACATCTGCTTTTCTTCAATCCTCTGGTACAATTCATGAAAGAAAAAGTCTTGAAAAATGAAAAACAAGGGTATGCATATTTCTACACTAAACTCCCAAAGCAGGTATGGGTGAATACCACCTGGTCCTGTGGCTTTGTTTACATTAACATTATTTAATTTTTGTAGCACTTTATCCTGTGTTATCTAATCAAATGTTTGCTGTAAGGCATTTGTACTAGGATTTGCAAATCTACAGCAGATTATTATTTCCTATATACTGAATAAAAATAATGTGAAGATCATTTCAGCCTTTGGGTCTCATCAGTGAGATATAGCTTATATACACCTAGACATAGCAAGGAATAAGCACCAACACATCTGCACTAACTGCAATATCACTTGAGAAGTCCAATAAAATAGTTTCAAATATTAGCAATTTCTAGATGCAATTAATCTAATGTTGGAGACCCAAAGGCAAGAGACACTGCTGTGCACCTGCTGTGACTTCTCAATATCATAATATCATATCTTCTGGTATCATAATATTTTGAAGTGCAAATAGATACAGTTAGTTTTTTTGTAATTAATATTGTGTCAAAACTAATTATTAAATGCATCTGCCTATCTATCTGAGATTTTTTTTCATTTTACTTTTCATTATACCTAAACATAACTAGTACCTATGCTTCAAATTAATGGCCTCGACACTCTAGTATACATTTTACCATTCATGAATGTCATACTGTGTACAATTTCACACCTGTCACCAAGGCTGGTAGCTTAAGGCAGAATAGAATTTATAATTTAATTAGTACATGTAGACCTGTGTGTTACTATATTCAAACAATTCACATCATGCAGAGTTAAGGTAATAGGAATGCTGAGAAAAATCAAACTTATTTGCATCTGAACAGAATTATATGACATTTGTTGTTATTGTATCAGCTACTGATATATCAATATCAGTTGAATTTAAAATAAATCAAGGTATAAATTATGCAATAGAACATACTGTATCCAAGACATTAAGAAATATTGACTAATTTCTCCCAGGAATCAAACACCTTTTACTAGCTAGGAATATTACATTATCGAGTCTCTTGGAAGATCTATAATTAGAAACATAATGATTGCATCATATTTGGTTACATTGTGATTATGCCAATCTCAATGTACTAGTGTGTTAAAAGCCATGCTTAAGAATCTACATAGCTAAAAATGTTAAAAATTAAACTATATTCACTAAACACAGATTATAAAATTGAAAACCAAATGGTAAAATTAAAGGGATGCTATAGGCAGCTTAAAGGGATTCCATAGTGCCAGGAAAACAAAGCCATTTTTCCTGGCACAATAGAATCCTACAGTGCCCCCCTCCCTCACGCCCCCTTCTTCTGCTGCGATGAAGGGGTTAAAATCCTTTCAGTCACTTACCTGAATCCAGCACCGATGTCCTTCGGAGCTGGGACAGGCTCCACTCATGGCTGACGTCGGTGGGGAAGACCTAATGCGCGTAGGCGACAATGTTCGAGCTCGCATTAGGATTTTCCCATAGGAAAGGATTAATTAATATTATCCTATGAGGATTCTGGTGATGCTGGAAGGCCTCATGCATAGCGTGAGGACATCCAGTATCAGTTTGACAACAAAACATCTGGTAGACAGCCACCCTGGAATTAACCCTGCAAGGTAATTTATGCAGTTTCTCAGAAACCTGCCTTGTTCCCTGCCTTGCACCCTTTTCAGTGAGCAGTACTATGGCTCATCGAGAAACACTGTAAAGCCACAATTGCTTTCTCTGACAAATCTGCAGCTTTTGTAAACTGTATTTTTTATATATCCCCAAATAAAATGCAGGAGATATTATTTAAAGAAAAAATCTTTGCTTTTCGTGTATCCACTTTATGTAGACTGATCATTCCGAGGAACCATCAAAATTAAATGGAAAAACCACACGTCCAACGTGACCCACCTCCAGCATAGTTGGGTGCACCGAGCAACAGTAGAGATCCCCAAAATTTTTGAATATAAATTATACTATCAATCACATCCTAAAGGAAATGTAGCATAGATTTAACACTATGTAACTCCACCAATAAAGTGGAACTAAGACGTGATATGGTGTTAGAAAAGGGTACATTATATCCAGAAACCCAATTTTATGGCAAGACAGGAGGCTTCATATTTGCTTTAGAAAGTGAGGATACTAGATCCTACACATACCAAGAAATAACTTGTAGTTTGCTTGAAGGGATATCCAGGAAACGTGCTACCCCCAATGTAAAAGGGGGCACTAGTTACTAAACAGTAAACTGATAAAATTGAAAAACTAAACAAAGTAGTAGATAATAAAAATACATAAAATGCAGTATCAGAAGTATCCAGGAAAAGTGCTGCCCCTAGTTATAAAGGGCGGCATGGTTGCCTATGCAGTAAACTTATTAAAATAAACATTTTTTTTTACAGAATAGTAGATAATAAAAAAATACCTTTCATGGACTCCCTACCTAAGGCGCTTGCCGCTTTCCATTGGGTTGACCCCCTGATTGCCTCACAGCCTACTCCTCTCACCCCTGGCTCAAGAGGCTTTAACTCAGATGGTTCTCTCCACCCCTTGGGTACAAGCTCTGCATGCAAGTATCCCTGGACAGGCTAAATCGCCCACACACGCTATGGCAAATTATCTGCTAAATTGACTAGACTGGGCTCCTGTGCTGCCAGAGGTGTGGATGTGGACACCATCTCGGGGGCCCAGATTGCAATGGCCTTCATTTCTACATGGCTGACATACAGGAAGTATCCGCACAACGGCCTGGAGCAAGACAAGCTCCTTGATATCAGCGACCCGCTGACTCAGACTATTCCAATGGCTGATGACGCTCTGAATGAAGAAACACCGGTGGATGCGCACCTCCTTCGTGAATGTGTCCAACATACAATGTGCTTGTGTGACCTTACCATGGAGCGCCGCAAGGCGGCTCTTTACACACTGGACTAGATGACTTGGAGGGCTGGTCGACAGTGCACTTTCTGAGTCTTTCTCCTCCTATTCCTCCCGGTGCCAGTACCGCCTGCTGCTCCCCAGTGGTTCGTTCAGGGACTGTGGTTACTCAACCACCCATGCTCAATACTTCTGAGGTAAAATCCTTCCATTTTTGACTGACTTACAAATTACGGACAGGCTGTCTCAATTTTTCAACCTTCGTATCCTCAACGCGTTTATCAATGTTTCAAGATGAAGGGCAGTCATCTCCTAGAGATTTTCTCTGCGTGGACATTTGGTTCTTGCGTCTAGAACTGAGGAAAGTTTTCCCACTGTGTTGCTTCATTGCGACAACAGGCAATGTCCACATTCAGCAGTTTCCCTGCCTTCTATCTGCTTGGTCCCATGGTGTTTCATCACAGTGTTGAAACTAGTCATGATGGCTCTGAGAGCCTGGGGAATACGGTGTAACATCTATCTGGACGACATTCTACTGATGACATGGGACCCCATTGTCCTGCAATGTCTTAATGTTCCTCATGATCCTTCTGCTGCAGGATCTGTGGTTCATAATCAATGTGAAGAATTTATACCTAGTGCACTTTTGGTCAGTCCTGTTTCTGAGCTTCATTGTGGATATGACTCAGGTGGTGCTCCGACTCCCTCTCTCCAAGGTGGCCATGATCAGGAAGGATGTCAGACGCTTGCTCCGAAGTCCTCGGGTCACTTTGTGGCAACTGACACAGACTCCATTCGGGCCATCTTCCCTACTACACCTGACGGCTCGCTATCTCAAGACTTCAGCTTCCTGCAGCCTGGTTTGGCTCCTTTAGGACAAGGTGCACCTGGAACTCCATTGGTGGCTTCAACACATGGGGACCTAGAACAATGAGGCGATTTCAGCTCCCTCCAGACTTCATCCTGAATTTTTTCCCTGCACTGGTGGGACGCCAGCAATTGACAACTTAATTCCCAGTGTTTCGCGTGTTGGACTTCCTTTGGGTTCCGCTCCATCTGGACCTCTTCATGTCCAGGGCAAACAGCTTATGGTGTTGTTCCTCATCTGGCTCCTGGTGGTCTCACAATGCTGCGGTGGATGTGTTCATCCAGGTCTGACCGTTCATGGGGGTGTATACGTTGCTGCCTTTCTCTATAGTACATAGGACTTTCCTTCAAACCAAGATTTTGAGAGTGTAGATACTCTTGATCACACCACTGTTGAGGAGTCAGCCGTGGGTCCCTCTACATCTGGGGTTTGTTGTGCAAAGACTCGTTACTGCTTCTTGCCTCCGGATTTCTCCTTTGAACTCCAGCAGGGATCCCGCACATGTTGAAGTTAAAGAGTTACAGCTCAAGAGTTGCCCTGGGACTGTTGGATGCAATTCTCTGCACGTCCGGTGGGCCCGACATTGCTGGTGCCTTGAGAGGCATTTTGATCCATTTGCGGCTCAAGTCGTGGGCATCCTGAACTCCTTGGCTGAATTGTTTTTTCAAGGTAAGTCTTTCCAGCCTATTTTTGTCTGATGGCCCACCATTTCAGTGGCTTATGTTCCCTCTTGCATTGGGATAAGCCTCTCGGTCTGCATGCTGCTCCGAAGTATGCATCTTTCGAGACCCCTGCTTCACACTATTTCTTGTTCTGGGACGTATCGGTCGTCTTTAATTTCCTTGGGGACTAACCGGTTAACGGAGATTGGTCTCCCCATCAGCTAAGCTGTTTTTTTCTCCTCTGCCTCATGTCTTCCCATCGCGTCTCAGATATTCGCACTGTTGACGTGGAGTTTTTTTTCTCTTTCTCCCCTGACGGTGTTTCCTTTTTCAGTATCGAGCAGAAAGAAGTTTATTTCTTTGTCTGTGTCCTACTCTTATTTTATGGATGGGCGACATCTGTGGGTGGCTCGCTGTCTATGTAGCTATATCACCGTGACTTGCTCTCTTTATTTCTCTGAAGAGTGGCTATTGATTTTATATGTGCGTCCGTGTTAGGCAGTCTCTGACTCTCTGCCTCTGCAGGCATGGAGAGATCCTTCAGGGCACTGCAGTATTGGTGACTCTGGGATCTGGTGGGACCCTTATGGATATTCTCCTAGCCGCAGGTCGATCTAGGGAGTTGATTTTATTTTCGTCTGCACTCCAGTGTTTCTTCTGTGTTTATTTTGTGGCCTTAAAATAGCAAATATAGAGCCTCCTGTCTTGCCATAAAATTAGGGATTATTCTAGCCTTGGTGAAGGAATAATCTAAATTGTATTAAAGGGACACTATAGTCACCTGAACAACTTTAGCTTAATGAAGCAGTTTTGGTGTATAGAACATGCCCCTGCAGCCTCACTGCTCAATCCTCTGCCATTTAGGAGTTAAATCCCTTTGTTTATGAACCCTAGTCACACCTCTCTGCATGTGACTTGCACAGCCTTCCATAAACACTTCCTGTAAAGAGAGCCCTATTTAGGCTTTCTTTATTGCAAGTTCTGTTTAATTAAGATTTTCTTATCCCCTGCTATGTTAATAGCTTGCTAGACCCTGCAAGAGCCTCCTGTATGTGATTAAAGTTCAATTTAGAGATTGAGATACAATTATTTAAGGTAAATTACATCTGTTTGAAAGTGAAACCAGTTTTTTTTTCATGCAGGCTCTGTCAATCATAGCCAGGGGAGGTGTGGCTAGGGCTGCATAAACAGAAACAAAGTGATTTAACTCCTAAATGACAGTGAATTGAGCAGTGAAATTGCAGGGGAATGATCTATACACTAAAACTGCTTTATTTAGCTAAAGTAATTTAGGTGACTATAGTGTTCCTTTAAAGACAGGAGGCAAATATTCCCCCCTTCTCCCTCTCCCATTTGTATTGCCATTTCCCTCCCTGGATTGTGGGTTATTTGGGGGGTATTTGTTGTGATTTTGTATTGTTTGTCATGTGTTTGGTTGAATTTTACTGTGATCTGATACTAGTTGCCTGTTTGAGTTTATTCATTATGTATTAACGTACTGCAGTACTAATGTGTTTTGTATGACATTCTGCCTTGGCAGTTTACTTTCACAATATTTCTTTTTCCTTGCAGTGTAATCAGGATTTCTTCTGGTTCTGGCGATTTTTCGTTTGATTGTGTCTACTACAGATTGACTCAGTTGGATTTCATGCTCTCCAGCTCGACCTCCTTACAGAATGAGGAAGTCTCTCTGAGAGTTTTGTTCTACTGTTCTTTTGTTCTGATTGGTTGTGTCTGAAAAGTTATGTTAACGATTTCTTTGCTGCTGGAGGTTTCAGTAAAGAAGGTAAAGCAAATATTTGCCTCCTGTCTTTAATAAAATTTTGATTATTCCTTCACCAAGGCTAGACTAATCCTTACTTATAGTTCCTAGACAATTTCTTTTTCACAAAAGTGCACAAGTATACCTGCTGTCAACTCATGCCTTAAAATTATCTTTTTAATCCCAACAAAGAGGTATTCTAAAACAGTTTTTTTTAATGACAAATATCTTATGAGTCTCTTTTACATAATACTCTTACCACCACATGTTTTTATTAAAGTGTATAAGTTTAATTATACTGTGCATTTCATTACATAATCATTCAAAAGACCAAATATTATTTATAGATTTTAGCAATGTGTCATGTAGATATCAAGGCACACAGTATTTAGAGATGACTAAGTGTTATTGTATTGGATTACCATTTTATCTTAAATTATGTGTACAGGATTTGTTACAATGCCACTATATCAACCTCTTAACCCTTTCACTGCATCAATCCTGTATATGTGATTCCCAGAGATGTTCCCAATGCGAATGAAATTTGTTTATTACAAATACATTTTATTTGCAATTGCTGTGCTAAAAGCAGAGCCAGTGACCCTTATAGTGCCGACTCCTTGACCCCCAGCAGCTTCAAAAACCGATGGTGAGATCTGTAGATCTCACTACCAACTCCTTGGTTTTGCACCCCCTCCCTGTCACAGGTGCCTCATTTCAGATCCCTATTTAGCCTTGTACTGCAGAGTGCCCCAGGTGGATTTTTTTCCCCAAGTAAGTGGGTTAATCTCATAAGAGCAGACATTAGGCTGTTAGAGTAGGACCTGCCAAAGATGGGGTACATTGATGGTGTAGCATGCTTATGCAATGTATGTTCATATAATGTAACTAAACCCCCATTATTTTTGCTTAGATTAGGTATTTAAAAAAACCCAAAACCTAATAAAATCTGCCAGCATTGAAGTGGCTGTTTAGTGGATAAATAAGTGCGCTGGATCTTGTGTATTGTATAATTGTGCCTCCAGCAGCAACCCATTTATGCATGTTAAAGTGCAGCCCCCTGGTTTCATATATATATATATATATATATATATATATATATATTTGGGAGTCTAGCAAACTCCTTGGTTTTGCACCCCTCCCTGTCACAGGTGCCTCATTTCAGGGCCATATTTAGCCTTGTACTGCAGAGTGCCCCTGGTGGACTTTTTTCCCCAAGTAAGTGGGTTAATCTCATAAGAGCAGACATTAGGCTGTTAGTGTAGGACCTGCCAAAGATGGGGAACATTGATGTTGTGGCAGGCTTAGGCAATGTATGATCATATCATATATGTAACTAAACCCGCATTATTTTGGCCTAGATTATGTGTTTTTTTAAAAAAAAACAAATAAAATCTGCCAACATTGAAGTTGCTGTTTAGTGGATAAGTGAGTGCGCTGGATATTGTGTTATATATTGTGTTATATTTTTAAGAGGTGGGTGACTCTTTAAGAACTCTACCTCTTTTTCAGCAGGATAACTAATTTTGCCACATTGCACACATTGTTCAGGAATGGTTTGAGGAACATAACAAAGAGTTCAAGATGTTGCCTTGGCCTCCAATTTCCCCAGATCTCAAGCTGATTGAACATCTGTGGATGTAGTGGAACAACAAATCAACATGGAGGCCCACCTTGCACATTGCAGGACTTAAAAGATCTGATGCTAATGTCTGGGTGCCAGATACCACAGGACTTGTTCAAAGGTCTTGTGGAGTCCATGCCT